TCACAGCTTTGAGACCTTGGTGGTGAGAGTGTGACGACATGTGTCAGTATGCTCATGCTGACAGCCCAGCATCAAGCAGCGACCTCCGGGTAGGTTCCCTCCTGCCATGAGGCAAGAGCGGGTAACACCGTGTCACAGCTTTGAGACCTTGGTGGTGAGAGTGTGACGACATGTGTCAGTATGCTCATGCTGACAGCCCAGCATCAAGCAGCGACCTCCGGGTAGGTTCCCTCCTGCCATGAGGCAAGAGCGGGTAACACCGTGTCACAGCTTTGAGACCTTGGTGGTGAGAGTGTGACGACATGTGTCAGTATGCTCATGCTGACAGCCCAGCATCAAGCAGCGACCTCCGGGTAGGTTCCCTCCTGTCTTGAGGCAAGAGCGGGTAACACCGTGTCACAGCTTTGAGACCTTGGTGGTGAGAGTGTGACGACATGTGTCAGTATGCTCATGCTGACAGCCCAGCATCAAGCAGCGACCTCCGGGTAGGTTCCCTCCTGCCTTGAGGCAAGAGCGGGTAACACCGTGTCACAGCTTTGAGACCTTGGTGGTGAGAGTGTGACGACATGTGTCAGTATGCTCATGCTGACAGCCCAGCATCAAGCAGCGACCTCCGGGTAGGTTCCCTCCTGCCATGAGGCAAGAGCGGGTAACACCGTGTCACAGCTTTGAGACCTTGGTGGTGAGAGTGTGACGACATGTGTCAGTATGCTCATGCTGACAGCCCAGCATCAAGCAGCGACCTCCGGGTAGGTTCCCTCCTGCCATGAGGCAAGAGCGGGTAACACCGTGTCACAGCTTTGAGACCTTGGTGGTGAGAGTGTGACGACATGTGTCAGTATGCTCATGCTGACAGCCCAGCATCAAGCAGCGACCTCCGGGTAGGTTCCCTCCTGCCTTGAGGCAAGAGCGGGTAACACCGTGTCACAGCTTTGAGACCTTGGTGGTGAGAGTGTGACGACATGTGTCAGTATGCTCATGCTGACAGCCCAGCATCAAGCAGCGACCTCCGGGTAGGTTCCCTCCTGCCTTGAGGCAAGAGCGGGTAACACCGTGTCACAGCTTTGAGACCTTGGTGGTGAGAGTGTGACGACATGTGTCAGTATGCTCATGCTGACAGCCCAGCATCAAGCAGCGACCTCCGGGTAGGTTCCCTCCTGCCATGAGGCAAGAGCGGGTAACACCGTGTCACAGCTTTGAGACCTTGGTGGTGAGAGTGTGACGACATGTGTCAGTATGCTCATGCTGACAGCCCAGCATCAAGCAGCGACCTCCGGGTAGGTTCCCTCCTGCCATGAGGCAAGAGCGGGTAACACCGTGTCACAGCTTTGAGACCTTGGTGGTGAGAGTGTGACGACATGTGTCAGTATGCTCATGCTGACAGCCCAGCATCAAGCAGCGACCTCCGGGTAGGTTCCCTCCTGCCTTGAGGCAAGAGCGGGTAACACCGTGTCACAGCTTTGAGACCTTGGTGGTGAGAGTGTGACGACATGTGTCAGTATGCTCATGCTGACAGCCCAGCATCAAGCAGCGACCTCCGGGTAGGTTCCCTCCTGCCTTGAGGCACGAGCCTGTAACACCATGTCCCTGCATTGGGGCCTTGGTGGTGAGGGTGTGAGACCTTCGGGTAGGTTCCGTCCTGGTTTCTGGCAAGAGGCTACCTTGGTGGTGAGTGTGTGAAGACATGTCTCAGCATGCTCGTGCTGACAGCCCAGCATCAAGCAGCGTCCTCCGGGTAGGTTCCTTCCTGCCTTGAGGCACGAGCCTGCATGGTTTGAGTCGATTCTAACTCCGTCTGCCCGGCATTCCGTCTTGCACTTCTCCTCTCTTCCTGCTGTCTTAGGCGCTTGTGTCGCGGCAGCAGGGGCAGATTGAGGAGCTGAGACGGCTGGTTGGTGAGCAGATGAAGGCATGCAATGCACTGGCTGCTCTTCTCTGCTCTGCTCTGCTCTGCTCTGCTCTGCTCTGCTCTGCTCTGCTCTGCTCTGCTCTGACCCGTGCTGCCCTGCATTCCGATTCTACTTCCCCTCCCTTTCTGCTCTCAGGAGCTGGTATTGCGTCAGCAGGGGCAGATTGAGCAGTTGCTTGGTGAGCAGGCGTGCCATGCACTGGCTTCTTCTCTGCTCTGACCAGTGCAGGCCTGTGTTGTTCTCTTCGAATTTTCCCTCTCTCCCTGCTCTCTCAGGACCTGGTATCGTGGCAGCAGGGGCAGATTGAGGAGCTGCTGCGGCTGCTGGGGCAGCAGATGGAGGCGTGCCATGCGATGGCTGCTGCTCTGCTCTTACCCGTGCTTCCTTGCTGCCTTGCTGCCTTGCTGCCCTTGTGTTGTTCTCTTGCTACATCCCTTTCTTTCTCACCCCTTGCAGGAGCTAGTGGCTCGGCAGCAGGGGCAGATCGAGGAGCTGCTGCGGCTGCTGGGGCAGCAGATGGAGGCATGCCATGCACTGGCTGCTGCTCTGAGACTGCAGCAGCAGGAGAGATGGGGTGTGAAGCGAGGGGAGCAGCAGCAGCAGCAGCAGCAGCAGGAGGAGGAGGAGCAGCAGGAGAGGCAGGATGAGCGGGCAGGGGAGCAGCAGGAGCACGGGAGAAAGAGTTCTCAACCGAACGAGCAGCCAAATTCAGAGCAAACGATTCCTGGAGAGATCAATCCAGAGGAGGAAGAAGGGGCAGAGGTGTCAGATGGGGCAGATGGTGAAAGAAGGAACGGTGTAAGGAACAGGGATGGCAGCTGGAGAGAGGGAGTGAGAGGGGAGTGGAGCGACCTAAATTGGGACGAGGGCTTGATGCAGCAATCAGGGGAGTTGCGAGGAGATATCACGAGCCTCAAGGAACAGGTGGGATAGATCCTGGATTGGGTCCCTTGTTTCTCAGTTTGTTCCCTTGTTGCCATTCTGAGGTATGAGTGTGTGGAACAGCAGTTGATGCTACAGTCTGGGCAGTGGGTTAGTTGCCGGATGGGGTCCCTTGTTTCTTCCTTGGTTCCCTTGTTGCTCCATTCCTGCTCCCCCGTCCCTGACCCCTGATTTCTTTCTTTGCCTGTCTGTGTCCTCCCATGCTCCGTCTTGTTCCCTGTATGCAGCTTGCTCAAAGGGCCAGCAGCATAGCATCACTCAAGCGGTCGCTGTTACAAACCATGGCTCAGCTCAAGTCCCGCTCGCCCTCCCCTAACCCCTTCTCTCCTTCCGTGCCTGTCTGTGTGTTCCCAATTACCCCTTGCAGCTTGCTCAAAGGGCCAGCCGCATTGCATCACTCAAGCAGTCGCTGTTACACACAATGGCTCAGCTCAAGTCCCGCTCGCCCTCCCCTGGCCCTGCCTTCTCCCTCCCTTCCCTCCACTTCCCCTCCCTCCCCTCGCCCTCCCTACAACCCTCCTCTCGCCTATCCCCGTCTCCTCAGCTCCCATCCCTCCACTCGCACTCTCTTCTCTCCTCTTCTCTTCGCTCACATTCTCCGTCTCCCAGACACTCCCCGTGCTTCCGTCCCGCCCCGCCTCTCACTCCCATCACACAGCCATCGTAGAACGAGAGAGTAGACGCATCAGAGAAGCCTCTTAGACGCCTCGTAGAAACATCATTAACTCATAATAGAAACCTCTGTCAAGGCGTCGTATTAATATATATTATAGTAGGCTCTCCATTCACAGGAGCGTCTGCTCTGACTCCTGGGAGAAACATGGATGCATCTCATCTCATTCCTTACTGGAACCGGCTTTCCTTCGTCGTAGTGGCACATCCACTCCATTCTCTCACACACACACTCGCGCCCCTCCACACTCGCCACCCCAGCTTACCTCTGCCCCTGCCATTCTGCCCCCTTTTCTAGAAACGAGATCTACTTCCCTTCACTGGAGGGAGGAATCACAGGCCTTGATTGCCTCTAACTATTCCCTCCATCTCTAGATTAGGGTATCTTTCCACTTCTCGGTGGCTATAACGAACACGATAATAAGAAAGAGAGGGCTGGAGTTTCAATCACATTTCTGTTCTTGGTGGCAAATTCGTGTTTCCGTACATACATGTTCCTCCAAACAGTTTGTGGTCGTGAATCGAAGCAGCGAAACCTGAAGAGCTTGTAACAAGTACAAGAATTTCAGTGAAAAGCGGTGGTCGAGCGTCAAGCTACACATCACTGTACAGTTTGTACAGAACAGAAAATGGCAGGGACTGTTTGGTGTTCGACTGACACTGCTTCTTGTGCGACCCGAAAAGCGGGCGGTAACATGATTTTTGACTGAGAGCGTTGCCCTGGGCAGGGTATTCTTCCAAGGTAGTGAATTTTATTTTGTTCACTGGTGCGCGGAGTCTCGGTGTTGTTTTCCTGTTTGGTGACCACGAAGTGCGAAGTACAAGGGGACCACTTTTTAAAATTATAGCCAGTTTCATACAAAATCAACGTCACAAAACTAGACTTATATTTAAAGTACAAACAAGGTAGTGGTAAAACTACAACACCAAGGAAAATCCTGAGCTGCCAGGTCCCCCGACGCTGCTATTCAGCTGAATCCGCCACTTCGGTCTTTACCCCTCTTGGCCGCTAGGAGCAAGCTCCTAGCGTTTCACCCGTACACCGCGTTGAGGTGGGGGCTATTCGTACGGGACACCTGTGGGAACAGGGGCAAAAGTTTTAGATTGTCCCGCCACCGGGCAGAGAACCACCTCAAATATCCGGATGTCAGATGTCAGGATGAAGGCGCCTCGAGTCAGGGATGCTCCACGGTCGCTTAGATGGGAAACCCATCGGCACACCTTACCACCCAACCACCCACCACCTACCACGAGTCTGTACCACGAGCGCGCGTCCTATCTGCATCTGTACCACGAGTCTGCACCACGAGCGCGCGTCCTAATCTGCACCTGTACCACGAGTCTGCACCACGAGCGCGCGTCCTAATCTGCACCTGTACCACGAGTCTGTACCACGAGCGCGCGTCCTATCTGCACCTGTACCACGTGATCGCTCCTACTCGTCACCCCGTCGCTCCTACTCGTCACCCGCGCACCTTACCAACCCACTCTCACCCTTCGGCCGTGCCGTGCCGTCCCGTTCTTCTGCTCCTCTGCCAAGGCCTGGAAATGAAGGAGAGGGAGAAAACGGTGAAAGCTCCATGTCGCTGCAGCGACCTCCCCTCCACGAAACCTGCGCACTAAAACACGAAAAACGTTAGTAAAACTGCTGAAAACAAGATGAAGACAAGAACAGAAAGAACAGGAAAAAACAAGGACAAGTAAAGCACGACGAAGCGCGACAAACAGAACGTAGGTAGAGAAACTCACCCTTGGTTTCGTTGCTGCAGCCACGACCTCCCGTCCGTTGTGCTCCTCCTCCATTGAACTGAGGAGACAAGACAGAGAGAGAGACACAGAAGGGAAAGAGTGATAGCTCCAGCGGCCTCCCCTCCACGAAACATGCGCACTAAAACACGAAAAAACGTTAGTAAAACTGATGAAAACAAGATGAAGACAAGAACAGAAAGAACAGGAAAAAACAAAGACAAGTAAAGCACGACGAAGCGCGACAAACAAAACATAGGTAGAGAAACTCACCCTTGGTTTCGTTGCTGCAGCCACGACCTCCCGTCCGTTGTGCTCCTCCTCCATTGAGCTGAGGAGACAAGAAAGAGAGAGAGACACAGAAGGGAAAGAGTGATAGCTCCAGCGGCCTCCCCTCCACGAAACCTGCGCACTAAAACACGAAAAAACGTTAGTAAAACTGATGAAAACAATAACAGAAAGAACAGGAAAACAAAGACAAGAAAAGCACGACAAAGCGCGACAAACACGACATAGGTAGAGAACGTCACCCTTGGTTTCGTTCCGTTGTGCTCCTCCAGCCGCGACCTCCCGTCCGTCGTGCACCTCCTCTGCCGCGCCTTGTGCTCCTCCGCCACTTCCTCGGGAGAGAGAAGAGAGAAGTAAAAAAGGAGGTGATAACACCCTCGTCCTCCTCCCGGGCCGCCGTCGTTGTCGCTGCGGGTGGAACGGAAGAGAAGACGAAGACGAGGAAGACGTGAGATGCGCCTCTTTCCACCCCGCCGTGAAGTCGCTCCTCGCCGTGAAGATGCCGGGGAGTTGCCGTGAAGCCGCGCCACGCAGGGGAGTGCCGGGAAGCCACGCCACGCAGACATGCGTGGAGTTGTCGTGGAGACGCCGGGAAGTCGTTGTCGTGAAGACGTTGACACTGCCACGCCGTTGTCATGCGGACGTGACGGCGACGAGGCGGCGTGAGGCGCCGACAAGACGCCGCGCGAACGGCGTGTAGGTCGCGACGCCATAACGTTGTCGCGGAAGTCTTCGCGTTGAGGTGAAGCGGCGCCAGAGCTGAAGACGATATTCCTGTTCATCATAGAAACAGATTATTAGGCCCGCCGATAGATAATACATCAAAGCACGAAAGCCCTTATCCTGGTTGCTCGCGGCTTCTTGTATTCTTCAAGTGAAAAAAATCTTCAAATGTCTTCAAATAGCAGCAGTCTTGGACCGTCTTCAAAGGGCAGCAGTCTTCAAAGGTCTTCAAAGTTCAGATCGACTGAAGTTGAGGCTAGTAAACACGTTCGGATAAGGGAGGCGAGGAGCACCATCGAGGCACGCGAATCAGCCAAAAGCATGTAGCAAAGCGTGCGCTGCTAGCCTATGCTGCGACTCTGCGCTGCGACTTGCGCTGCGACGCTGCGACGCTGCGCTGCGATGCTGCGCGCCTAATGCTGCGAACCTACGCGCGACGCTGCGAGCGCACACACGCTCTGCTGTATGCCTTGGGCTGACTCGGGCTTTCCGGTGCTCCTCAGAAGAAAATATCGTCGACGATAATGAGTTTTTTGACTGAAAGAAGTTGGAATGGACATTTAGTGGTTACTTGAGAGAATCAGTTGGATGGAATTAGGAGAAGGTTTGTGTGAGAGGTGGTGCCGTGTGCGCGAGTCAGTTGGATGGAATCTCTGGTAAGGATGGGGATCGGGAATCGAGGGTGGCAGATTGCCGCCGCTAAAATCGAACGGCCTCGATGTAATCTCGTGCCATCCGCCGACAGCCATGCGGGACCGCCAAGATTAGCAGCCCAGCATCTTTTGGCGTCGCGGAGAGTCACAATGACTGGGGTGATATGATGGGAGCTACTGGTGCCTGGATTTGTGATTTTCCTCGAGAGGAGTGGTGGTGCTGTCAGTGCGAATCGCGGTCGACACTTTTAAAAATTATGGGGATTGTGAATCGAGGGTGATAAAATGCCGCCGCTATATCTGAACGGCCTCGATGTAATCTCATGCCGTCGGCCGATGGCCGTGCGAGACGCCAAAATCACCAGCTCAGCATCGTTTGGCCAGGAAAGTCAGAATGATTGTGGTTATGGGTGCGAGTGTTGAATTGAATGTGCATCAACGCGGTGTGGTGTGATGCTGCCTGTGCGAATCGCGGTCGATTCTGAAAGTCAATTTTTAAAGTTGTGAATCAAGGGTGGTAGATTACGCCGCAAAAAGTAAACGACATGGATTGAGGAGTGAGCCCTCCGCCGACAAGCGGCTAGACCGCTAAGTCGACTGGCGCTTGTGATGTCAGAGAAAATTGGTTCGGCTTGGATTGGTGTTTAGAAGGATTGGCGCGGGGAAACAATTGCTGTGCGGATACCCGTTTGTAGCTGTTCTATGTTTACAAAACAGTATTTTGCTGAACACTGTCGTGCGTATCTTAGCTTCATTTGATTGCGAGTTGCTGTGCTAATTAATATACGAGTGTGGTACAGATAGGGTCAGCCTTACGAGGCGGCTCCGAGCACGGGCAACATAATGTTTTGCGTGAGTTACGGGACGGCAACATCATGAAGCTGGAAACTTTTGACATTCCTGCTGCTGTGAACGGGGTGGGCCCTTGCTGACTCAGGGTTCGGGCAGCTGAAGTGGAACTGGCACGATGGAAAACCCTGCAAGGACCAATCGGAATGGGAATCTGAGAGAGCAAACAAGAACGAAAGATGAAACCAGGGAACAGTAAAACCAGGTGAATCGGTACACCCAGGGAAAATAGCATATCACTGTAACGGGGGTTTGGTTGGTGCACCAACCACCTCTCGCTCTTATCGAGTCGACATTGTTCCTCACTTCCTGGCTCAGATTTGATAATTTGGTGACTTCTCCCTCAGCTCTTAGAACCTAGACTAGTCTCTCGTATGACTTGCGCTTGCTCCTAGTCCCGCCTTGGTTGATTCCCGTTCAGATCTGACGACCCCTTGCGTTCCGTGGTTGAGAGTAGCAGTACGTTTCAGATGCGTACTATTCTCGAAAGTAGGAACGACAAGTTCGCGGAAACCATTAGTTCGTGAAGGGAAATTCGACGGAGGGCGAAATCCCACTCGTTGACCGCATGCAAGAGCGGTCACGCAGATCCGTACTTTTCGCGTGGGAATCAGATCTGACGATCTCGCCATATCTAGAAACGCCATATCCGTGTGAAGCGCGTCAGCTGCTCACGCGGGCTTTAATGCCTTCTAATTAGACGCCGCTGAATTTTTCCTTCATGAACGGTAACACTGCTAAACTCGTTTCAGATGTATCGTGAAGTGGAGCACGAATGTGAGTTCAGTCTCCTTTCCCCTTCTCACCTCCTCCCCTCCCCCTCCCCCCTCCCTTTACCGACTCTCCTCTCCTTTCGCCATTGCGTGGTAACAATCCTGTCTCCTCCCTCCGTCTCGTCTTCGCTCGTCCCTCATCTCCCCGTCACTCGCCCTCCCCGCATTTCGCATTTCGCTCACCCCTGTCCGCCTGCGCTCATCCGTTTTCACTCAGCCCTGATTCCTTCACCCCACCTCCCCCCCTTCCCCCCCCCCCGCGCGCCCACCTTTCATCCCCTCACCGTTACCCCTCAACCCCCCTACGATTACTACTCATCCCCCTTTTTCCCAGCATTTCCCCCTGTGTCCCCCCTTTCCCCCCCCTGCGCTCACCCCTTATTCCCCTTGTGTTTATTCCGAAGTCCCTATGTGCTCCTGCATACCCCCTGCTCACCCTTTTCCCCTGAGCCCATCCCTTTCCCGTCCCCCACCTTTCCCCCCTCCGCTCATCCATTCCCTATTCCTCACCCCTTTCCCCTGCCCTCATCCTTCATCCCCCCTGCAGCTCCCACCCCTCATTTCATCTATGCTCACCCCTCCTCTCTGCTCTCATCCCTCCTTTGCGTATGTGAGTTCATCATTGCACTCATCCCTCATCCCTCATCCTTCCATCCCTAAAGCCCCCTGCGTTTGTCCCTTTTACAGATTCTGCTGGTCTGACATCTGATCACGGCTGATTTTTTTCGAAGTATTGACACTAGAAATCTATTCCCATGAGAACACTGCTCGTCTGAGATACAGTAGTAATAAGCCCCGTGATAGAAAATATTACACTGTCTTAATTCAACTCGTTCATTCTTTCTGTCATTACTTTGATAAAACTGTACCATATGCCAGCGAAGGCATGGATAATAGACCCCTAACAATACCACAAAGCTGTGGTAAATCCATAGGTATGTACACATCAATTAATATCACAAGGTACAAGCAGATTGTTGCACTGTATTGTACAGCTTTACCAACACACCAGCATGTGCTCGTAATGGCCGTCAGGGGCAGATATTACAAGAGCGATTCGTACACTTTCTCAGCTTTTCCTGCCCTTGACCAACTGACTTCTTCGATGCAACGCGCTTCGGCCGCTTCTTAACAGCCCCCCCCTCCACAACATCACCACCAGCAGCATCACAACCAGCATCACTAGCAGCAGCTATCTCCATTCCTGCACCCTCTGCTTCTGCACTTTCTGCCAGCCCCCCTGCACACTTTCTCAGCCTTCTCTGCCCTTCACCAACTGTCTTCTTCGATATGACGAGCTTCGGCCGCTTCTTATCTGCGCCCACCTCTACAACATCACCAGTAGAGGGGATAGGAGCACCAGAGGCAGCACCAGTGGCAGCACCAGCGGTAGCACCACCAGCAGCATCACCACCAGCAGCTATCTCCTTTCCTGCACCCTCTGCGTCTGCAGTTGCTGCCAGCCCCCATACATCCTCTGGTACTGTTGCAGATGCGACCTCCCCCGCAGCACCCTCTGCTCCTGCTGCAGGTGCGACCTCCCCCCCAATACCCTCTGCTCCTGCTATGACTTCTTCTTTCACTTCCACAGCTCCTGCTGCTCCCGCTCCTCCTGCTCCTGCTGCTCCCGCTCCTCCTGCTCCTGCTGCTCCCGCTCCCCCTGCTCCTGCTGCTCCCGCCCCCCCTGCTCCTGCTGCTCCCGCTCCCCCTGTTCCTGCTGCTCCCGCTCCTCCTGCTCCTGCTGCTCCCGCTCCTCCTGCTCCTGCTGCTCCCGCTCCCCCTGCTCCTGCTGCTCCCGCTCCTCCTGCTCCTGCTGCTCCCGCTCCTCCTGCTCCTGCTGCTCCCGCTCCTCCTGCTCCTGCTGCTCCCGCTCCTCCTGCTCCTGCTGCTCCCGCTCCTCCTGCTCCTGCTGCTCCCGCTCCTCCTGCTCCTGCTGCTCCCGCTCCTCCTGCTCCTGCTGCTCCCGCTCCTCCTGCTCCTGCTGCTCCCGCTCCTCCTGCTCCCGCTGCTCCCGCTCCTCCTGCTCCTGCTGCTCCCGCTCCTCCTGCTCCTGCTGCTCCCGCTCCTCCTGCTCCTGCTGCTCCCGCTCCTCCTCCTCCTGCTCCTCCTGCTCCTCCTGCTCCTGCTCCTGCTACGTCTACTGCTGCCTCAACGGTCCCAGCAGCCCCCAACTGCCCATAACCCCCTGCAGCCACCTCCTCTCCTCTAGTCGCTGATGCCACTTCTGCTTCCACGGCTGTTGCTGCTACTGCTGCAGCCTCCTCTGCAGCTGCACCCACCACCCCCCCTTCAGCACCAGTTGCCGCACCCTCCAGCTGTCCCCCTACCTGTGCACCCTTCAGGAGGACTCCTCTCTCCCCTCCGCGAATGAACGGTCCCTCCACAAAAAAACCCAACCACGCCTCGAAAGCTGCGTTGGTCTCCGCCTGCGTCTTGGTCATGCAAGGACTGCCCGTGTAGCTGCCCCAACTGAAGGGCAGCTGCACCGTGCAAGTGAAAGACGGGCAGTGAGACGGACCCTGCGTGTCCGTGAAATACTGTGGCGTGCCCGCCAGCATCCTGGTGCAATCCACTTGAAGCAGTAACTTCGCATGCGCTTTCGCAAGCTCTTTCGCCACAGCTGCGACGTGGGCGGCGTCTGTTGGCGGCTGCGCGTCCGGGCAGGAAACGTTTCCTGAAATAGCATTCCGGAAAGCAGCGCGGTATGCTAAGAGCTCTGCGTCCTTTTTCCGTAAACCGAGAATGGAACTCGGGCCGTTCGATTCCTCCCGCGAGATCTGCTGCCAGCTTTCGGGCAGCCCGCGGAAAGTTTTCGATCCGAAGGTGACTTGGAAATCCCAAGTCAGAAGATGCGGCGATCCTCTGGATCCCAACGAGACGCCTTGCGGAGGCGACACGTTGAGTGCTGAGGCAAGATCCTGCAGTAGCTTGGAATACATGGTTCTAAGAAGGTATTACTGATTGACTAGGTCTTAAATTTAAAATTCGAGCGCAAGAGAAAGGATACAGGGTTGGATAACGAGGAGTGCTGATCTGAATCTCGAGAGCAACAAAGCATAAAGGGCTCGATAACGAGTGCGGAGTAGGAATTTTGGCAATAAGGTGGTATTTTCTGGGAGAGGAGGACCGTAGTCGACGGATCAGTAACAGTTGGAGATTCTCCCGATAAGATCTCCAGGAACCAGGCGCGGGAGATGCCATTTGGATCGTTCCTCTACACGCCACAACGCAACAATCTACGGCGGCGGAAACTTTCTTCGACATTATTCTACTTAAGGCGGGAAATCCGAGCCGCTCGACTTGTAACAGCTGTCGTCCTACCTCCTCGTCACTAACGCCAGGATCCGAAGGTTCTTTGACAAACGGTTGCGATTCGTGCCATGCAGAACAGAAGGGCGACTGATCGGCTGCTTTGCCCTGCTTGGATGCTTTGCTACATGCGAAGGGGGCTCGCTGTGAGGGGGGTGACCTGTTGACCAGTTGATGGGCGAGAGGGCGAAGAGGCGAATGGACGAACGAGGCGAACGGGGCGAACGGGGCGAACGGGGCGAGCACCATGAATGCACGAGCACGAGCCCAGCTCTGTGGCTTATCTGAACTTCCCGAAACCCCATTTCTTCGCAAAGTAACCCGTCGTAAAGAATTTTACCATCCAATCGAGAATCGAGATGCGAAATCAAGGGATCGAGTGGAGAAACACGAACAAATCCAGGCAAGCTGTGCGTTGGTAAGTTTGAAGTGTAGACAAATGCGTACTGTACAGTCAATATACGCTTGGTTGACGTGTATGGAGGAATGATTGCCTCAAAATGCAGCTTGGCCCTGCAACATCTGCTAGATCCTAAAGCAACTGCTAGAAACATTTTTTTGCGGCTTGGAGTGTTGAAACCAGACCAGTTTTGAGACATTAAAAACTGGCCCCACTAAGCATAGAACCCTTCATTCCACATCAATGGTGTGAAAACACGTTACATGGAAATGGGCAGTGGAGAGCCCAACAACCCAGCACCTAGGGTCAGGGTTCATGAGAGCTCATAACCGGTTCCGGCAGAAATGGATTATTTTAGTTCTTTCGGTGACGTGTTAGCTCATGGCTGCTTGATGCAGTAGACACGTGGAGCAAAACAGCTTCAAGCCCGGAACTCCCCTCTCAGCACTTATGACAACTCAAAGCCAGTTCCGGAGGAGATGGCGTACTTGAGCTTATCCCGCAATGTGCTGGCTCGTTGGTATGTGGGCAGCTGCGTGGGAGGAAGGGTTGGAGAGGAGGTGGGGGAAGGGAGGGGGAAAGAGCATTGGAGCTTAGCTTAACCCGTAGCGTGCTGGCTCGTTGGTATGTGGGCAGCTGTGGCACAGCAAACACATCACCAAGACAAAACAGTAGAGAACGAGTTCGCAGTGATATACAAGTTTCAGAACGTCAGTTGTCTCAAAATATGTGGGCAGGTGTGGAAACAAGGGGCCACAGTGGGGCGTGCTGTGGTGGCCGGTTATAAAATTCATGCACTGCTGTAGAGGGGACGAGTGTGAGAAGTGGCAACCGAATCATGAGGAGGAGCAATGATGACCTTAAGTGGGTTGTAGCACAGCAGAATCAATGACCATTTTGAGCAGGTTGTAGCACGAAGCAAGCAATGTGTACCTTGAGAGCAGGCTGTGTGCATTCAGAGAAAGAACTACTGAGCAGGTTGTAGCACAGCATTGCAATGATTACGTCAAGACGGTTGTAGCAGCACAAGAGCAATGATTACCTTGAGCAGGTTGTAGCAGGTTGTAGCAGGTGGAAGCAATGATTACCTTGAGCAGGTTGTAGCAGGTTGAAGCGGTGGGAAGCCAGTCCACATCGGGCCCTCCTAGTGTAGCCCACATGGACGCGTCCACATTGACCTGATAGGGAGGTGGGTTATAAAGGGTACGAAATACACGCAGCATGAAGCAGAGGGCAGGTGGAAGCGGTGGGAAGCCAGTCCACGTCAGGCCTTCCCAGTGTAGCCCACATGGACGCATCCACATTCACCTGATAGGGAGGTGGGTTATAAAGGGTACTAAATACACGCAGCATGAAGCAGAGGGCAAGTGCTAGCAGTGGGAAGCCAGTCCACATCGGACCCTCCCAGTGTAGCCCTCATGGACGCGTCCACGTTGACCTGGTAGCGAGGCGGGTTATTAAGGGAATGAACACATGCAGCATGAGCCATGAGACGCAGGCTGCATTAATCTCCATTGGTATGATACAGCCCATGTTTCATGCTGATCACATCTCCCCTCAGCACAGCCACACACACCTTGTGGATGGTGAGGGGCGGGTTAAGGTGTTTGAACCCCAGCAGCGGGGGTCGAGAGCAGCTGGTGATGGCTTTCCACAGCAGCAACCACAGTCTATGTACCACAAGCACCACACATATTTAGTATCTGAGCAGCATCACCCCTTGTGGATGGTGAGGGGCGGGTTGAGGTGTTTGAACCCCAGCAGGGGAGGTCGCGAGCAGCTGGTGACGAATTTCCACTCCATACAAGCTACCTTTTGCTACGATCCCACACACACATCTGAGCAGAGTCACACACACACCTTGTGGATGGTGAGGGGCGGGTTCAGATGCTTAAAGCCCAGCAACGGAGGCCGAGAGCAGCTGGTCACGAATTTGAGCAGCTGGCTCTTCTCCTCTCTCGATAGCTCCTTCACCACCTGATGTGATTTTGATACATGGTGAGGAATGGAAGAGAGAAGGGAGAGGAAAGAAGGGCCCTCTCAGCTTAGCGGCTGGTCACGAATTCAAGCAGCTGGCTCTTCTCCTCCCTCGATAGCTCCTTCACCACCTGATGTGATGGTGGCACACGAGGGGATAGGGAAGCAATGTGGGAGAGGAGAGGAAAGAAGGGCCCTCTCAGCTGAGCAGCTGGTCACGAATTTGAGCAGCTGGCTCTTCTCCTCCCTTGATAAATCCTTCACCACCTGGTGTGATGTTGGCAGGTACAGGGGAGGTGAAGGAGGAAGTAACTATGAAAATGAGCAGCTAGACACGAATTCGAGCAGTTGGCTCTTCTCCTCCCTTGATAGCTCCGTCACCACCTGAATAACATTCTCAGCCATGGAACAAAGTAAAAACCGCTTGGGCTGACGCGGACACACTCACGCACCTCCCAGAACATGCGGATGGTTCGGTCGCTCTCCGTGTGCACCCCCAACTATCGGCTGTTTGCTGATTGTAAGCTATCACACAATGATGCACAGCAATGAAACACGCACCTCCCAGAACATGCGGATGGTTCGGTCGCTCTCCGTGTATCCACCAAAGTATCGCGTGTGTGCCTTGATTGAAAGCAAACTATCACACAATGATGCACAAATGCCAGCCACGCACCTCCCAGAACATGCGGATGGTTCGGTCGCTCTCCATGTATCCACCCGAGTATCTCGTGTGCGCCCGGAGATCCTCCACGTCCACATCCTGCTCTCCACCTGATAACAGCTGCACAAAGGGCAGGGAGGAGTGCAAAGAGCCAGGATCGCACACACAAACAGAGGGGGTCGCTCTCCGTGTATCCCCCTGAGTACCGCGTGTGCGCCCGGAGATCCTCCACGTCCACGTCCTGCTCTCCTCCCGACAGCAACTGCTCATACCCAGATAGTACAGAGATGGAGAGAGTTAGAAAGAGGATAAATGCATGCATTTGGCTTGAGGCTCGGAGAGTAGTGCCTTGAGATCCTCCACGTCCACATCCTGCTCACCGCCTGACAGCAGCTGCTCACACAGAGTGGACACAGGGTCACAGAGAGATATCACATGCACGCAGACTGAACTTGAGGCTTTGACAGATGCGCCTTGAGATCCTCCACATCCTGGCGCGGAGCAGCTGCTCTCCGCGCAGCTGCTCACAGGGATGAGGAGATGTGGTGCGACTTTTGCGTCGACTCAAAAGTGAACTTGAGGCTTTGATAGATGCGCCTTGAGATCCGCCGCATCCTCGTCCTGCTCTCCGCGCCGCTGCTCACAGGGATGAGGAGATGTGGTGCGGCGCAGAGATGGGGTGATTGAACATGTGCTCGTCCACTTACAGCCATTCATGACTGCATATAGAAATGATTGGCGCATATTTAAATGGCCATTCTGCAAATTTTGAGTCGATTGATGAGTTGAGGCGCTGGATGGACACACTTCTGTTCAAATTGAAAAGAGCAACAGTCACAAGCACACAACACCGGGGAACAATCAATTATGCTGCTACCACCACAACTCTTATATGTTCCGTTGTTACCTCCTTGGTCGTCGCCAGCTCTGTTGCAATCTCCTGGAATCTCACCTGGTTGAACTCCTTTGGACTGAACAACCGCAGCCACTCAGGCTGAATCAGATCTGAGAGGCCCCTTAGGAATGCTGCTACCACTGCTGCCATCTGCCAGTGCTCGTGTGGGGGAATGGGGAGATGGGAGGGAAACCGAGGGGTTACAAGGGGGGTTTAGATTCGAGACATGCTTATGAGTCGACGCAACAGCCACTGCCAGCGGCCTATTGGCCCCTTAGGAACGCCGTCACCACTGCTGCCATCTGCAAAAGGGGGGTGAGTGAAGCGAGGAAAGGATTACCCATTGGTCATTGATGATTTCACCTGAACTCTCTCCTCAAGGTTTCAACGTGCCATAAGCCACAACATGGATGCACTACAGATTGCTCTCACCACCAGCCCCTGAGTCCACCTGAGAATTGTTAATACCACCTGATCATTGCACTTTTCACCTGAAATCTCACCTGACGGTTGAGCTTGTAGTCAGCAACAGCATGAATGTACTGCAGCTTGTTCTCATTGGTCACTGCGATGTGACTGCCGCCTGGCCGCAGCTCCACGATATTATGCTCTCCCAACACTTCCTCTGTCACCGTGAAATCTAGTGCCAATTCAGAGGCATCCCCTTCATAATGCTGCATGGGAAGGAGAAGCGGAAGGAGGGTGCCAAGGGGACAGGCAGAAAAATGTTAGATGCACGCCGCAGCCCCACAAAATTGTGCTCTCCCAACACCTCCTCTGTCACCGTGAAATCTAGCGCCAATTCAAAGGCATCCCCCTCATAGTGCTGCGCAGGAAGGAACAGAGGAAGGAGGGCGACAAAGGAATGGACGGACAATGAATGGGGAGCACAGTAGCTCCACAATGCTGTGCTCTCCCAGCACCTCGTCAGTCACCGTGAAGTCCAGAGCGAGTTCAGATGCGTCCCCCTCGTAGTGCTGCATGGCAAAGGGGTAAGGGACACAAGGGCTTCAAGCATCACTCGCAGCTCCACAACATTGTGCTCTCCCAGCACCTCGTCAGTCACCGTGAAGTCCAACGCGAGTTCAGAGGCATCCCCTTCGTAGTGCTGCAAGGGGTGGGTGGGAGGGGAAGGTGCGAGGAAGAGGAGAGTCGAAGGGGGAAGGTGCGAGGAGGAGGAGAGTCATAGTGCGAGGAAGGGGGTGGGTGTGAGGTTACGGTTGGAAGCCGCAGCTCCACGATGCTGTGCTCTCCCAGGACCTCCTCCGTCACTGTGAAGTCCAGAGCGAGTTCGGAGGCATCCCCTTCGTAGTGCTGCAAGAGGAGGCAGGAAGAGGCAGGAAGAGGCAGGAAGAGGCAGGAAGAGGCAGGGGGGTAAGCGGAAAGGGACGGTGCACTGGTTACGGCGATGTGACTGCCGCCCGGTTGCAGCTCCATGATACAGCACCACTGGTCCCAACACCTCTTCAGTCACCTTGAAGTCGAATGCGAGCTCAGATGCATCCCCTTCATAGTGCTGCATGGGGAGGAGAGGGGGGAAGGCGGGGTTGGAAGGGAGAGCAGGCAGGACTGATAAGGGCTTCACGCAGTAGCTCCACTATGCTGTGCTCTCTTTTGTGAATTCTCAAAGGCCTCTCCCAGCACCTCTTCAGTCACCTCGAAATCGAATGCCAGCTCAGAGGCATCCCCTTTATAGTGCTCTCCCAAGACTTTCTCTGTGACAGCGAAGGCCAATGCAAGCTCAATAAGGAGGAGAAGGGAGACAAGGGTTTCTCTCATAGCAGCTCATAGCAGCTCCCCTCGCCCTCGCTACACTCACACACAGCTTTAGGTACATGAGGTTGCGATACAGCTCTTTAACCAATGAAGAGAGCTCGTCCAGGAACGAATATCTTCCCATGAGCAGTCAACGTGCGGCACACACCAGTGCACGGTCACGCCACAACCCACCTTGAGGCACTGGTAATGGTAATGGTAATGGTAGTGGTAATGGTAATGGTAGTGGTAATGGTAGTGGTAATGGTAATGGTAATGGTAGTGGTAGTGGTAATGGTAATGGTAATGGTAATGGTAGTGGTAATGGTAATGGTAGTGGTAATGGTAATGGTAATGGTAATGGTAATGGCAATGGTAATGGTAATGGTAATGGTAATGGTAGTGGTAAAGGTAAGTGGTAATGGTAATGGTAGTGGTAATGGTAATGATAGTGGTAACAGTAATGGTAATGGTAATGGTAATGGTAATAGTAATGGTAATGGTAATGGTAATGGTAACGGTAATGGTAATGGTAATGGTAATGGTAATGGTAATAGTAATGGTAATGGTAATGGTAATGGTAATGGTAACGGTAATGGTAATGGTAATGGTAATGGTAACGGTAATGGTAACGGTAATAATATCGGTAACGGTATTGGTAATGCTAACGGTAATGCTAACGGTAATGCTAACGGTAACGGTGACGGTAATGGTAATGGTAATGGTAATGGTAGTGGTAGTGGTAATGGTCACGGTCATGGTAATGGTAACGGTAATGGTAACGGTAATGGTAACGGTAATGGTAACGGTAATGGTAATGGTAATGGTAGTGGTAATGGTAATGGTAATGGTCACGGTCATGGTAATGGTAACGGTAATGGTAAAGGAGTCTTGCCCACAATGCTGCACCCCAGTCACAACTCCACTTACTCTCACACCCACGTTCAGATACATGAGGTTGCGGTAAAGCTCCATGTCCAGCGATGAGAGCTCGTCGAGGAAGGCATATCTCTTACGGAATGTGCTTGTACATACAGGGCTGTGCTGCCCACTATGTCACCTTAAGGTACATGAGGTTGCGGTATAGCTCCATGTCCAGCGATGAGAGCTCGTCCAGGAAGGCGTATCTTCCCACTAGGTCCAACACAGATGCCCACGCTGCCACACATGCTCCACTCACCCACCTTAAGGTACATGAGGTTGCGGTGCAGCTCCATTGTCCAGCAATGACAGCTCGTACAGGAAGGTGTATCTCCCAACGAGCTTTGACACGAACAATGGAGCAGAGCTATACCCTCGTGGAGCAAAACTATGGAACAATGGAGGATGCACTCGTAGTGCGCCTTGCCCACGATGCTGAGACACACAGTCAGCAATCGCTACCACCCACCATAAGATACATCAGGTTCCTGTACAGCCCCTTGTCCAGGGATGAGAGCTCATCCGGAAAGGAGTACCTCTCCACTAGCATGAATGCATGGCAGCAGTCCACAGACGCACCTTGAGATACATCAGGTTCCTGTACAGCCCCTTGTCCAGGGATGAGAGCTCGTAGAGAAATGCGTATCTTCCCACGAGCTTGGACACAAACAGCGGAGCGAAGCTGTTCTCAAGCAGAATGCCCTCGAAGAGTGCCTTGCCCACAATGGTGGTCACTCCCTGTGCTTAAACACACCACACACTATGCTATACCCACACCACACCCACCCATCCTCCACCCACCTTCAAATACTTCCGGTACAGCTCCATGTCAAGAGGTGAGAGCTCGTCCAAGAAGGCGTATCGCCCCATTAGGTCCAACAAAGGTCCCCACGCTTATGAACACACCACAGCCACACCCACCCACCGACGCACCTTGAGATACATGAGATTCCTGTACAGCTCCATATCCAGGGAGGAGAGCTCGTCCAGGAACGCGTATCGCCCCACGAGCTTCGACACAAACAGGGGCGCGAAGTTGTACTCGAGCAGAATGCCCTCGTAGAGTGCCTTGCCCACGATGCGGCCGAGAAACTCCACCATGGGAATGCCGTGACCCAACGCCGCTGCTGCCGGGTGTGGGTAGAGGTAGCCTTCTTCTGTGGCTGCTTGTAAGAAGAGCCCGTAGCTGGGGAGAGCAGGGTAGAAAGGGAGGGAAAGAGGGAAGGAGGGCAGGGAGGGGAGGGAAGGGGTGGATGAAGAGAAGAGCCCTAACTCCAACACGATGATGCCGCTGAGAAACTCCACCGTGGGAATGTCATGGCCCAGAGCTGCTGCTGCGGGGTGCAGGTTGAGGTAACCCTCCTCTGTGACTGCCTGGAGGAACAAACCGTAGCTGGGGAAAAGGAGGGAGGGGAAGAGGAAAAATGATTGAACGGAGGATCCAGGGTAGTGCTGCTGCGGAGTGCGGGTAGAGGTAACCCTCTTCTGTGGCCGCCTGGAGGAACAGACCATAGCTGGGGAAAAGGGTTACGAGGAGGGAAAGTGGGAAGCAAAGGAATGGATGAAGAATGGAACCAGCATCCTAGCACGATGCGGCCGAGAAACTCGGCCATGGGACTGCTGCGGCCCAGCGTTGTTTTAGGTGCCACCTACCCCAGGTGCCACCTGCCCCAGGGTCACCTGCCTCAAGAGCAACATGGTAAGCTTACCCCCAGTGCCACCTACCCCGGGAGCAACATGGTAAGCTTACCCCCAGTGCCACCTACCCCGGGAGCAACATGGTAAGCTTACCCCCAGTGCCACCTGCCCCAGGTGCCACCTACCCTAAGTGCCACCTGCCCCAGGTGCCACCTACCCTAAGTGCCACCTGCCCCAGGTGCTACTACCTACCCCGGGTCGAAGGCTGCTTTAGCGAGGTCAGTGAGGAACTCTTTGAAGAGTCCGCCCTGGTCCATGCCTATTTCCACATGACATGCAACCTGTCCCAAGCGCCATTAACCCCTAGTGCCACCTACCCCGGATCGAAGGCTGCTTTAGCGAGGTCAGTGAGGAACTCTTTAAAGAGTCCGCCCTGGTCCATGCCTATCTCCTCCGCTCCAAACGCGTTCACAAAGGACACACGCACACGGCCCTGTGTGGAGGGGTGAGAAGGAAAGGAGAGAATTAGGCGAATGAGAGGGAGAGTCCTCCCTGGTTCATTCCTATCTCCTCCGCTCCAAACGCATTCACAAATGACACGCGCACACGGCCCTGAGATGGGAGCAAAAAGGGGTGAGAGGGAGAGTGAGAGAGCAGGGGAGTGAGGGAGGAATGAGAGGGAGAGCGAGAGAGCAGGGGAGTGAGGGAGGAATGAGAGGGAGAGTGAGAGAGGAGGGGAGTGAGGGAGGAATGAGAGGGAGAGTCCGCCCTCGTCCATGCCTATCTCCTCCGCTCCGAACGTGTTCAAAGGAGACGCGCATGCGGCCCTATAGGGTGGTGGGGTGGCAGGGAAGCAGAGAAGCCAGGGGGGAAAAGAAGAAATGAAAGGGAGCGTTTACGAATAAGACATGCACACGGCCCTGTAGGGTGGTCGGGAAGTGGAGCTGTAGGCTCCCACCTCAGGGTCGTGCACGCGACCCAAAAGAGAAAAAGTTTTGAGATGTCACAAAAGAGCCTGTGAGAAGGTTGGTGAGGGAACGCACTGTCACACCCAAGTGGTACCTTTGAGCATGGGTCTGAGCTGGTTTAATCGCACAAACGCATCTTCCACCAGCAGGTCCCGTCGCACAGACACGTCCACCACCCGCCGCACCATGCCCAGCCTTGTCAAACGTAAAGCACCTTTCATTCAACGCGTCTTTCAAAGCACCTCCTGAAGCACCCACCACAGTACCTTGAGCATGGGTCCGAGCTGGTTTAATCGCACGAATGCATCCTCAACAAGTAAGTCCCGCCGCACTGACACGTCCACCACCGGCCGCACCGTGCCCGTCCCATGCTGCGCCCTGTCACTCTCAAACCGCCTCTCAAAGCACCATTCAAGGCACTTTCCAGAGCACAAATAGTACCTTGAGCATGGGTCCGAGTTGATTCAATCGCACGAATGCATCTTCCACGAGCAGGTCTCGCCGCACAGACACGTCCACCACGGGCCGCACCATGCCCATGCCAGGAGTTACGCCTAATCCATGCCTCGCCTTGTCTGCTTGGATCAGCTCGCGGAAAATGTGCACCCTGAGAGGAAAGACATGGGACATGGGGCCACAAGAAACAGTCACATCGGGAGTGGGATGGAAGAGGAACAGCCGTACTGACACGTCCACCACGGGCCGCACCATGCCCATCCCGGGGGTAACGCCTAATCCGTGCCTCGACTTGTCTGCCTGAATGAGCTCCCGGAATATGTGCACCCTGAGGAGAGACAGGGAAAGATGATTGAGGACGGGGAAGAAGAGAGGGCAAGGGAGAGGGAGATGGGGAGGTGCATGCATGGAGGAGGGCGGGAGTCACTCCCGCGCCGCGCCTTGTCTGCTTGAATGAACTCGCGGAATATGTGCACCCTGAGAGGAGAAGAGAGAGGTGAGGGAAAGGGAGACCTGAGAAAAGAGGCATATGTGGGACCAAGGGACAGCTGAAGAGCGCACCATGCCCATCCCAGGTGTCACTCCCAGCCCGTGCCGCGCCTTGTCTGCTTGAATGAACTCGCGGAATATGTGCACCCTGAGAAGAGACGAGGGACATGGGGCATGCGACATGGAGGAAAAAGAGGAAGGTGAAGGAGCAGTGAGCTTGAACCACGGCCAGGGGTGAGTGCTGCAGGGGGTGAGTGCTGCCGGGGGTGAGTGCTGCAGGGGGTGAGTGCTGCCGGGGGTGAGTGCTGCCGGGGGTGAGTGCTGCCGGGGGGTGAGTGCTGCCGGGGGGTGAGTGCTGCCGGGGGTGAGTGCTGCCGGGGGGTGAGTGCTGCCGGGGGGTGAGTGCTGCAGGGGGTGAGTGCTGCAGGGGGTGAGTGCTGCCGGGGGTGAGTGCTGCCGGGGGTGAGTGCTGCCGGGGGGTGAGTGCTGCCAGGTTACAGCTCCTCATCGCACCCTCCCCTTTCTTCTCTACATCTCATCTCACCTCTTTTCAAACGGCAACACGTGGGGCAGTGTGTGCAGCACAGCAGCCATGACAGACCCGCTCTGCTGCTCCTTCCCCTTCTCCTCATCTCCCTCCTCCTTCATGCCACCCCTCCCTACAGCTCATCTCACCTCTTCTCAAACGGCAGCACGTGGGGCAGGGTGCGCAGCACAGCAGCCATGGCAGACCCACTCTGCTGCTCCTTCCCCTTCTCCACGCCTCCTCTCCCTCTCCCTCCTCCCGCCATCCCTCCTCCGTCTCCTGCAAGTTCCCCTCCTCCGCCTCCTGCCCCCCCGCCCATGCCTAGTTCCCCCATCCACTCCCCCATCTCCCAGTCCTCCTCCCCTCCGCCCATCATTCCGCTCATCCCCCCTCCCCCCTCGCCCCCCACCCCATGGTGTCTGGCTGCGCCTGTACAAATGGGGGAAAAGCAGGGGAAGAGAGGAAAAGGGAGATGGAAGAGCAAATGCGCAAAGGATGGCCGTATAAGAAGGTTTGTGCGTCACTTTTGAGAATCATGATACAAAAAATGGGCGAAGGAAGAGGACATGGGGAACAGAGAGGATACGGGAAGGAAGGGCGTATGAGGAGGAACGTCAAGCTCGCTGTCTCACACATTGCCTTGCTAGTTTTGAGGCATCTGGGTTTCGGGTTTCCAAGTTTAGGATTGTAGTGATGATATTTGCAGAGAGGGAGGAAGCACCAAGCAGAGGGAGGGGATGGCTGGTGGCTGCTTCTATTAGAACGATTTATACCTGTTGACCTATACCTGTCTATTCATAACTGTTGTCATCGAAGGCACACGTTCCATTCCATGAATGGGCTCATACGAACCTGCTGCTGCAGAGATGACAGGAGGTGGGCGGCGATTAGCAGGGGCCAGCCAAAGGCAAGGCTCGCAGAAGGCTCGCAGAAGGCTCGTCTGCAGTCACGGTCGTGGAGAGGGAGGAGGCAGCGAGTGGCCGCTTCTAGCAATGCGGTGCACAGTTCGTTGTTTCACTTCTCTTTTCTTTTCTTCTCTTTTCTTTCTCTTACCACATGAGATGAGATGAACGGGCATGTATGTACCTGCTGCAGAGATCACAGGTGGGGGACGGCGATTGGCCGGGGCGAGCCAGAGGGAAGGCTCGCAGAAGGCTCGTCTGCAGTCGCGGTCGTGGAGAGGGAGGAGGCAGCGAGTGGCCGCTTCTAGGAGAGCGGATTGTGAGGGGGTGAGTAGGGAGGAGGAGGTGGAGGAGGAGGTGGAAGGGGATGGGGAGGAGGAGGAGGGGGAGGAGATGAGGGTGTTGTAGACGAGAGTGTTGAGTGTTGCTGCAATGACTCTTTGCTCCGAAAGCGAAAATGGGAACTGAGAGATAAGGGGAACGAGAGACAGGGAAGAAGGGAGGAGATGAGGGTGTTGAGTGTTGCCGCGATGACTCTTTGCTTCGAGAGAGTGAAAGGGATCTGAGGGACAAGGGAAGCCAAACCACGAAGGGACAGGGAAGAAGGGAGGAGATGAGTGTGTTGTTAACGAGGATGCTGAGTGTTGCTGCGATGACTCTTTGCTCCGAAAGTGAGAAGGGGAACTGAGAGATAAGGGGAACGAGAGACAGGGAAGAAGGGAGGAGATGAGGGTGTTGAGTGTTGCCGCGATGACTCTTTGCTCCGAAAGTGAGAAGGGGAACTGAATTACAAGGGAAGGCAAACCAAGGACACAAAGCAGAGGGGATGGAAACAAGAGGGATAGAGGGAGCAGATGAGAGGGTGTTGGTGTTGTGAGTGTGGCTGCAATGATTCATTGCTCGGAAGAGAAAAAAAGGAAACTGGGGGGAGACATGATCACCACATATCCCACCACCCCCACCGTGCAGCACCGCACAGAACCCTACTGTCTCTGGTAGGACTCCTCATCATCCATCACGAGCAGCAAGTGAACATACACCCTGCAAAGCACCGTCATTACCACTGCCAGCCCCCCTCCTCATACTCTCCACATCCCACCACCCCACCACGCAGCACCACACAGAACCCACCCCACCACCATGGAGCACTGCACAGCACCCACCTGTCTCTGGTAAAACTCCTCATCATCTAGCTCGAACAGCAGGTAGGAATACGCCCTGCAGGACACAGTCATCCCACCGCCCAGCACCACAGAGAAACCAGCAACCAACCACCCCAACCGCACAGCACCCACCTGTCTCTGGTAGAATTCCTCATCATCCAGCACGAGCAGAAGGTGTGCGTACGCCCTGCAGAACACAGTCATCACCACTGCCACGTCAGCAGCCACCCCTGCCACCCCCTTCCTCATACTCTCCACATCCCACCGCTCCCCTCCTCCCTCTCCCCCCTCTTTCCCCTCAAACGCACCCATTCCCACTCCCTCCTCCTCCTCCTCATCTCCCCCCTCCTCAATATCCTCTTCCATATAATCACCTGTCTGGGTCTCCCAAAACGTCCTCCCCCCTCCTCCCTCTCCCTCACCCCCTCCCCCTCCCTCTCCCTCTCCCTCTCCTCCCCCTCCTCTGCCTCTGCGCCTTCTCTGTGCCTCTGCTGCACGACTCTGGAAAGTGGAGGAGAGGAACGTAGCCCACCGTTGTGGCCCACCCATAAATGCAGCCAACGCAGCATCACCATCACCTGCACTCCCGGGCGGCCCGCCCTGGCCGGCAGAATCTGTCTGCATGCGGTCGACACGGTCAACACCCCTTCTCTCTCTTCCTAGTCCCTCTCTCCCCCCTCCTCCTGCTGCTGCTGCTACTCCCAGTGAGCCCCACTCTTCCTCCTCCGCCCTTCCCTCCCCTCCATCCCCTCCTCCCCCGTACCCTTCCAGAAACGACCTAGGGAACCAGCTGCCCGAAAACTGGGGCAGCTGAAACGAACCAGCCACTCCCCCTGCCCGTCTTCCTTGCCTTCTCCTTTCCCTCATCCCTCTGCTTCTCCTACTGCTGTACCCCTCTCCAACTATTCCACCACCACTAATAGCAGCGGCAGCACGAGCAGCGGCAGAACCAGAGAGCAGAAGCAGCAGCAGCAGCAGCAGCGGCAGCACGAGACGCAGCAGCACCAGGAGCGGCAGAAGAAGAGGCAGCACCACCACTAGCAGCAGCAGCAGCAGCAAAGGCAGAACCAGAGGCAGCAGCAGCAGCAGCAGCAGCGCGAGAAGCAGAACCACCGCCACCAGCAGCACCAGCAGCGCGAGAACCAGAACGACCAGCACCAGCACCAGCACCACTCTGCACCCCCTGCGCACCACTCTGTACCCCCTCACTCTCAGCATAGGCTTGAGAGATGGAGATACGGCAGTGAGCCACCAGCCAGTGCCACAGCCCCGTGAGCACCTCACGAGTGAAGGCTAGGACGTTGAGGAGAGGGAGCACTCGCCCTGAGGACGCGTGTACCGAGGAGAAGAGGGTGAGGAGGAGCGAGTAGAGCCGCCCAAAATCGCCCATGTCTAGCTGCTGCCGCCCTCCTGCTGCTGCAGCTGCTGCTACTGTTCCTCCTCCTCCTCCTCCTGCTGCTGCTGCTCCTGCTGATGCTGTTGCTGCTGCTCCTCCTGATGCTGCTACTGCAGCAGGTTTCCCTCCCGACTCTGCTGCTTTTTCCGCACTTTTTTCGGCTTTAAGGGCCTCTTCTAGGACCCGAAGCACATGCCACCGCTGGCACAGCGGGGAAATATCCTCGTAAAAACACGGGTGCACCTGCCTACGCCCGCCTCTTCTTCCCCTCCCTTCCTCTTCCTCATCCTCATCTTCCTCGTCCTCTTCCTCCTGCTCCTGCTTCCTTCCCTTCATCCCTTTCCCTCCTCTCTCCTCTCTCACCTCTTTCTCCTCATGCTCTATCACAGCAGCAGCTAAGGAACAGAGGGCGTGGACATACAGTGGCAAGTCCAGACCCGGAAGGAACAGCTCAGAGGAGGGAGAGGGAGAAGGAGGAGAGGGTGGAGAAGGGGAGGAGGAGGAGGATGGAGAGGGGAAGGAGGAGGAGAGGGAAGGGGGACTGGTGGCGAGAGCAGATACGTTGGCCAGGGCCCAGGCGGGAGGGGGGAGATGGGAGGTGAGCCGGTGGTATGGGTCGGGTGGCGAGGGGTGGGGGGATGGAGCCTTGCGCTGCAAGAGGGGGGGGGTAAAGGTGGGGTGGGCAGCAGAGGGGAAGGGGTGGGGAAAGGGCGCGCATGAAAACAGCAGAGACGTTGGCCAGGCGGGGGGGGGGAGATGGGAGGTGAGGCGGTGGTATGGATCGGGTGGTGAGGAGTGGGGGCATGGGGCTTTGCGCTGCCAGGAGGGAGCGAAGGGAAAGGCACAGATCAGAAAGAAAAGGAGGACGAAAAGAGGGGAAGGCAGCAGAGGAGAAAGGCCTTTCTCTTTGTCAGCAACAAAGGGCCGGCAGCAACAAAGAGAATGATCGTCGCAGGGCTGAAGGGCTGACACGTAGCAGGCAGGAAAGAAGGGAGACGGTTGTTTCGCGCGAAAGGTAAAAGATTCTAGTCGAGAGTTAGAGTGAATGATCGTACCAGGCAGGAGAGGAGGCACGGCTGGAGGGCCGAGATGGCGCAAGGCAGGGAGGAGGGGAGAGAGCGGTTCAATGGCAGGCGAGGTTGTATTGACAGAAATTTATTGTTGTAAATAGTAAGAAAGAATGATCGTACCAGGCAGGAGAGGAGGCACGGCTGCAGGGCTGACAGGTGGCGCAAGGCAGGGAGGAGCGGAGACGGCAGGCGCCACGTCAGCAGCGGGATGGTGAGAATGTGGGCGGCAAACTGATCGGCTGCGAGAGATGCCCATGCTGCATTCAAAGGGGCAGAGCAGAACATAGGGCAAGATACTTTTGAGAATTCCTAAAGTGACTACGAAATCGAAAAAGATGGGAAAGTAGACGTTTGAGACGTGTCACAACTCCAACGTAATGTGCGAGGCGAATTGGCCTGCTGCGAATGATGACAATGCTGAATTCAAGGGAAAGGAGCAAAGGAACCGGTTCGCCTCGTACGGGTCCCTTGATGCCACATTGAGCAAAGGGACGGTACAGACATGAATGAATCCATATACAAAACATCAATGGGTAGAAGCGAAAGGATCAGTGAATGTGGGGCACAATAGCACGAAAATCAGAAGGTCATTTGGAAAGCAGAGGCGAGCAGGTAAAAAGAAAGGGAGAAGTGGAGGATAATGTCATCATATGACTCACCCGATGGTAGCTTCCCAGCAACTTCTTGCCTGTCCTTCCTGCCCGAGAAAACAATGATAGGTCTGAGAGCCACGGTCATTGCAGCAGCGGTCAGAAGAAACATTTGCTGGGCAGCTTGAGCTCCTCCCCCTCCTCCTGCCCCCCCTCCCATCGCTCCTCCCTTCCCCTTCATTTCCTTCCACCCATCCACGGGAGGCGCGGCAGAATTTGTCAGTATGTGCATGCGCAGTGCAGGGTATATCCCTGTGGCACCTGATGCAGTACCTGCCAACAGAGAAAGCACCTGAGCCTCTGCTGCTGCCAGGGTGCTTTCAGGGGAGGAGGAGGCGGTGACAGCTGGCGATTTGAGGAAGCGCCACGTGGCAGTGTCACAGAGTGACACGTGGACACGCATGGCAAGGACAGTGAGTAGGAGAGAGGGTGCTGATGGGGTGGTGGCGGTGGTGGTAGTGGTGGTGGAGTGAGAAGAGGGAGAGGGAGAGGAGGAAGAGGGGGAGGAAGAGGAGGAGAAAAGGCTGAGGAGAGCACTGCAGAGGGACACGATTCGATGTGCCTGATGCTGCCACGTGGCGCGCTGTGATTGGGTGCCAACAGCCAAGGAGCAGAAGTTGGTAGCAGGATCTGCACAAGGGGATGAGAGAGCGAGCGGGTGAAACAAAATCGAGGGATGTGGAAGGCGGCGGAAGAACGAAAACAGAAGAAGTGGAGATAGGAGACCGATTTTGTGACGAGGGGGAAAGCGGAAGTAGAGGCAGGTTGTGAGAGAAGGGAGGAGAAAAATCCAAGAGGAGAGCTAGGCAATCATTGAAGAGTGCAAAGCACAACACTGTGTGAAGGGCGCTGGACTGACCTTTTGAAAGCCCAACATATGCAGAGCAGAGCCAAGCTGATTCACTTACCTTGGGAATCCAGACTCTTCAGCAGCCAGACTAGCACTGACTGTAGCCGTTGCATTTCCTTTCCTCCTCCCCCTGCCCCTGCCCCTGTCCCTGCTCCAGTTGGTCCCCCTTCCCCCCTGTGCTCCCCTTTCTCCCCCTCCCCCCTCCCTCCAATCCTCCACTCCCTTTTCCGCGCATCCCACAGCAAAAACAGCACCGGCGACAGAAGCTTCTGCGAAACTTCATCTGCTGTGAGGGGCGCCGGGGGCTGTCCCCCTGCTGCTGCCATGCGGGAAGCATGCCACGTGTCCCACTCGGATTGGACGAGCTGGCGAGCGACGCAAGCTGCTTTCCGACCACGCCACACACGCTGATGTGGACGAGAGGGGGTACAGGGTGGTTGGGACCGTGGGAGGGAGGGTGAGTGTGTGCCTATTAAGTAACGAGCACAAACGTTTTCCGAGTCAGACTCAAAAGTAACCATTTTGACAGGAAGGCTGACAGACAAACCTGCCCTGTCACGCCGACTGGCGCACCTGAAGCGCCGACTGGCGCACCTGAAGCGCCAACTGAAGCACTTGAAACACCAATCTGGCGACTAGCGCACCTGAATTAGCGCGGCGGACGCTGCGGACTTGCGGGCCTTGCTGCGCGCCGCGCGTTCCTCCGCCACCTTGTTCAGCAGCGCGTTTCGCGACACCTCGCGCGCGCTCGCTCCGCGCAACGATACCTGAGGGGTATGTTCGCGACAGGGAGGATTTCCAACAAGGGGACTTTTGATACGGGGAGACTCGATGGGGAGTCTGAGGGCGAGGGGGGGGTTGGGGGGGGGGAGTCCTCCGCCACCTTGTTCAGCAGCGCGTTCCGCGACACCTCGCGCGCACTTGCTCCGCGCAGTGACAACTGCGGAGGTGGACGTGGGGGGAGGGCGACAGGAGGGATTCGAAACTTCGCAGGCAGAGCAACGGTCAGTTCCGCGACACCTAGCGCGCGCGCGCGCAGGAAATGACTGATTTGGGGACATTCGACACAGCAAGAATCAAACACCGCCGCAGAAGATTGCCGCAGAGCGTTCCGTCATAAGTCTTTTCGCTCATTCCGCGCAGCGGCACCTGTTTTAAACTCAGTAAAACTGCTAACGTCACGTGTCAGGTCAGTATTGGGTCGATCCGGCACATGCCGACAGACAGTGCACGGCATGGAAGAAACGCAACGGTCTATGACGGATCGTAGCGAGTTCATCTATTTATTTATTCGACTGAGCAGTTCCAAGCTCACCTCGCGTCGACCTCCGAATTGCATCTTGACCGTTGGACCAGACCTGGCCTAGGGCGAGGTGGCGTCCGAATCACGCCACGAAGTGAAATTCTCGATGTCCTGATTGGCAAGGCGGATTCCAGGCTGCCTTGAGACTAGGCCAAGATAATTTCTAGGACTAGGAACCAAGAAAGTACGTGTTAATTCTGAGGAGAAGCAACTATAGGGAACTATAGGGAACACAAGTGTCATTACGAAGGACTCAAGCTGTTTGGAAGGCACACGACATCAGCACGAATTCTGCAGCATGTTCAATTGCCGCTTTTTTGGAGGGAATGTGCTCCATTGTAGGTGCTCCGATATTTATCAGAACTTCGGGTTATGAGATCCGCGATATGAGATCATTACGTGTAGTTTGTACGCGATATGAGCGAACAATTTCTGAGCCGACGAGGTATGCATCGCCCTGACAGCCCATTCGGGGAAGGGGAAACTGCTATTTGCCAATCGGAAGCTTCTTTTGAATGCCCAGTCCTGACGTCAGACCGTAAAACCCTCTTTTTTGCCTATGTGTCACTCGCAAAAGGTTGACATGGCATTATCTTATTCGTGAAATCAATTCTCCGATTGGCTCTTCGGTTTCAGCAACCCGCAATGTTTTCCCAGGGCTGCCCCGACCACAAGCTCCCTTAACCCCCATGCTCCATTCCCTCACATGTCTTTTCCGCATTCTCCGCCACATTTCCCCCAGCAGCTTCCGCCGCTTCCCCGCCCTTGCTACAGTATATATTTCTGCCACTCCATCGCCAGACTCCTCTCATATTCGCTCTGTGTGCATTGGTCGGAGCCCTGCCCTTGCTCTCGTCTCAAGACCTGGTATTCCCAGGCTCTCAGCTCTCGAGCCTCTCCGCATTCCACGGTTAGCGCGTAAGAGAATCTCTAAGCCGTCGTGCTTTTCACGCGGTTCCTCTTCTTTCAGCCTAATCTAAGACCATCATGGCTCTTTCCTGCGGAAGCTGCACGCTCGGCAAGACCGCTGTGTCCGGTCTCTCTCTCAAAAATGACGCAACCCTCGCGTCCGCCAAGAGCGCTGTCGTCATGTCGCCCATGCCACGTGTCGAGAAGCTGAGCGCCGCGGGCAAGAAGGCCGCGGCTGTCGCGGTCAGCGTGAGGTCGCAAGCCGTCGCCACCGCGACCACGAAGCGCGGCGCGGAGGTGCAGTTCGAGAGCAAGGTGTTCACCAAGGAGAAGATCAACCTCGCCGGCCGTGAAGAGGTAAATGAATGTGTGCTTTTTCTTTTCTTTAGGCTCCTCCGACACGATATTGGGACGTCTTAAAACGCGGATGTGAAGTTCGAGAGCAAGGTGTTCATTAAGGAGAAGATCAACCTTGCCGGCCGTGAGGAGGTACACATTATCGTTTTTATTTTCGTTTTTGTAAAACCATATTGAGACGTCGATTAACGCGGACGCGAAGTTCGAGAGGAAGTCTTAAAACCAAGGAAAATATCAATTTAGCCGGCCGCGAGGAGGTAAATGATCATCTTTGAAACGTTGTTGAAACGAACGTTGTTGCGAATGTGGATTTTAACAGCATGGTGTTTCTCCGTCGATATGTTTTTTTTTCCATTGCTGTCGCTTTTCGGTCCACCCCCATGATATAGTTCGCTCGAGAAATGTTCACGTTGCGGTGTTTTCGTACCGATGCCATTATGCGGATTCTCGCGTGCGCATCCTTCGTTGGTGCGAGTATCGTCGGTTACGAGCAGCGGATTCGTCCACTGAGCTCTGTCCTCGCGGATTCTTTAATATACGAAATCTCTAGTGTCGGGTTACTCCATATTCACTGATTCCCGATCGTTAATCCCTGATCACGGATCCCTGATCGTTGATCCCTAGTCTCTCTAGCACCACATTCACTTCATATTGCCATCCTCCGCCGCGTTCTTCCCCCCATCAGTACATCGTCCGCGGTGGGCGCAACCTCTACCCGCTGCTCGCGGAGGCCTTCAAGGGCATCAAGAAGATCGGCGTCATCGGCTGGGGCTCCCAGGCGAGTGCTGATTCATCGTTCTGTTTACCCTCTTCTTTTTTTTGCCTGGAACAACGAGTAACTTAAACCCTGTTTCTTAATCTTGCACGTCGTTTTGACCCAGTCAATTTTTTCAGCAATCGAATGTCCTGTATCGCGTGTTTCACTGCCTCTTTACCAGGCCCAAGCTCCGCCTATCGCAGGCCTTTCGCCAGCTGTGAATCTCATCCCCTCATTGCGTCTTTATCTGTAGATCGTTCACAACTCCCTAGCTGATCCATATCGAGTTTCTCTGTATCGCGTATTTCCGCATCGCAGGGGCCTGCTCAGGCGCAGAACATCCGCGACTCGCTCGCTGAGATCAACTCCGACATCACCGTTTCCGTAAGTCGCATCATCCCCGTTATTATCCGCACTCGTCAACGAGGATTCATTGGGTTTAACTCTAAATGCTTCCTACATTGCACTTTGCAAGGCCCTTGCATCAACGCATGTAATGGATCATGGATGTTTCGAAACCAATGTTCTGACTTTAACCACAATGTGTTGTTGAACTTGGTTCACATGTCCGTATTCGAGCTTCCGAAACCGCTGCAGCATTAGTATTTTTGGAACCGATTTTTGTCATACAAATCTAGTCAAAGATTTCTCTCTTTTGTCCACTTTTCTGCTTCTGGCCCCATCCCGTCGGCCCTTGTCCACGTGTCACGTCCAGATTGGCCTGCGTCCCAGCTCGTCCTCGGCGAAGGATGCGCGCCGATGCGGATTCACGGAGGAGGCGGGCACTCTGGGTGACGTCACCAAGGTCATTTCAGAGAGCGACCTGGTCATTCTCCTCATCTCCGACGCTGCTCAGGTGAGAATAAATGACGCGCTATAGTGTATACTCGATAACAGGTTAGGAGGAGTTCG